GGGCTATAGGGATTATGTGGAAAACAATGCATTTAAAGCAGTGAATTAATATGCCTGTCCTAAGGTACAGACTAATAAATTAGGTAATACCCTACCTTCATGCTCTGTATCCTATAAGATATTGGTCTTTTCTATGAGAAACTGTTCCTCTTTCTGTCCGAACTCCTTCCTACATTTCTCTCTGTCCCCTCTGCACCGCTGAAACCATTTTTAAAGGTCTTAATTGATCCTATTAGGAAACCCAGTGCAGTCTTTAGGCTTCATCCAAGTATATTTCTCAGTTTTTAATATTTATTGCCCTGCTTACTTCCATGGACTGTTATTCTTCCTTAGGTTTTGTGAAGCTTTCTATGTTCCTCGTCTATATATTTAGTTATTTCTCAGTTTTCTTGTTTTTAAAAAAACATCTTTATTGGAGTATAATTGCTCTGAAATGGTGTGTTAGTTTCCGCTTTATAACAAAGTGAATCAGCCATACATATACATATATCACCATATCTCCTTCCTCTTGCATCTCCCTCCCACCCCTCTGGGTGGTCACAAAGCACTGAGCTGATCTCCCTGTGCTATCTGGCTGCTTCCCACTAGCTATCGATTTTACATTTGGTGTGTATATATGTCCATGCCACTCTCTCACTTCGTCCGAGCTTCCCCTTCCCCTTCCCTGTGTCCTCAGGTCCATTCTCTACATCTGTGTCTTTATTCCTGTCCTGCCCCTAGGTTCTTCAGAACCTTCTTTTTTTAGATTCCATATATATGTGTTAGCATACAGTATTTGTTTTTCTCTTTCTGACTTACTTCACCCTGTATGACAGACTCTAGGTCCATCCACCTCACTACAAATAACTCAATTTCGTTTCTTTTTATGGCTGAGTAATATTCCATTGTATATATGTGCCACATCTTCTTTAGCCATTCATCTGTCAGTGGACGCTTAGGTTGCTTCCATGTCCTGGCTATTGTAAATAGAGCTGCAGTGAACATTGTGGTACGTGACTCTTTTTGTCTGTTTTCTTTATTAACACCTTTTCTTCTGCTTGCCTTTCACATATAAAAGTTCTCTAGGTTTGATTTATATCATAAATATTCTTTTTTGAGGGATGATTATTTTCTCTTTGGACTTCAAGGACCAATTATGTGTTTTTGACTTCCAAATCTCCACCTCTAGTCCAGACTTTTCTTCTTAGGTAGGCTCAAATTCTCAACTCCCTCCTAGCCATTTTCTTGTCAACGTTTTAAACTAAACCGTCAAAAGCAAACTTAGTATTTCCCTCTAAACCTCCAGTCCTTCTGTTATTCTTAATTCATTTTATTGGTACTGTTAACGCAGTGTTACTATGCTTTCACCAAGTTTCTGGCCATCCACTCATCTAAATATTCATAGTCCTAACCTTTTAGATAGCTTTTCTTTCTTTACTGTCTTTTACTCATTTTTCTCCTTGTTATTAGGCACTTTCAAACAATACACGTCAGAGTATATCACTTCTGTCCTCCTTAACTAGCAATGATTCCCATTATTGACACAGAAAATTCTACTTAATCTAAGAATTAATCTACTTCTGTCTGGCCCCAAATAATAATTCCAGTCCCATTTCCTACCACATCAAACACTATGTTTTAGCCACACAGGGTTATTTACCATTGTCTTTACCTCTTACATGCTGTCATTTTTTAAAAATTTATTTTCTCATATTGTCTACTTTATCTGGAATGCATGCTCATAAATTCTGTCTACTGAGCTCATCTTTTAAATTTTACTTTAAATTTAACTTCTTTAACAACCTTTTTTTCCAGATACCTACCTCTATTTCCAGTCTCTGGATGAATTCTTCTCTTTCCAGCTAATGTCACATGTATTTTTATTTAGTATATGTGTTGTTCTGCTATGAATTATAGCTGTTGTTTACATTGTTGCACTTCTCATCTAACCCCACTTGCTTCCACACTCATGTTGTAATTCATTAATCTGTCTAAAGCAATTTTGCATCTGTGGAAGCCCAGCAGAGTCCTTAGCATTGACTAGGTGCTCAATCAGTGTTGAACTAAAAGAAGCATATAGAGTAAAGGCAATTTTGGACTGATTCCACCATAATCAAACAAGATTTGACAACTCAATTACCTAACTTAAAGATGTAAATGAACTATCTTTAGGACCTAGTTTAATTTAATGGACTAGAAATGACACCTGAGAGTATTAATTGTCATCCTAGAATTAAGCTGTTTTACTGATTTATTAGTTCATTCATCCTATAAAAATTATAAAAAACACTTCTTGTATCTACAGCACACTACTAAGCTTAGAATGACAAAGCAAATAAAAAAAATACACCACGGTTTCAACCGTCACCAGATTGTACAGTGGGAAGTAGAGGCATTTTTGAAAACATAGGCTTTGTTTGCAGTCAGCCTGACCTTGATTTGAAGTTTTGAATACCATCTTCATCGTATATTTACCATATAATCTTAAAGTAGTTATCAACCATAAGTTTCCTCATCTGAAAACTATAAATTACAATGATATCTACATTTTTGACTGGTATGGGGTTTCAAAGAAATTGCACATTTCAAAAACTTCATATATATGCATGTATCTACACATATATATATATATATATATATATATATTTTAGGTTTATAATTTATAGCTGTAGATACTGGTGGGGGAAACCAAAATGTAAATAACTACCATATGAAACAAAAATGTTATAACTTCTAAAGATCCATTTATTCTATATTTTTATTAATAATGTAGTTTTACAGACCAAATGACTGGTCTTTGCACATTATATAAATGTTAATATTTATAACAGCATATAATTGGCATTGACCCCAATTCCAAACCTACAAATCAGATGTGTTGATTTGTATAGTGGCTTAATTTATATCAAGGAAGCAGAAATTGTTCCAGGTATCTCAAAGAGAAATAAATTTTAATATAAAGTGTCAATTGTAATAGAATAGTGGAAATTAGAAGTCAAAGAGGGCACACCTAGCTTTCAGCTTATGGAACTGCAGTTATGTTCCAGTTAGAGGGGAAGCTATGATAACTGATGAGTTTACTAGTAGCATATTGATAGGCAAGAGAAAAAGACCAGGTTTTTATCCTGGGGCACTTCAGCCTTAAGAGGTTGACAAGAAAATGTGGAACTGTACAAAGGAGGCTGTGAAATAGGAGGAAAACCAGAAGTCCTGAGCCCTGGAAGCAAAGTGATGAAGGTACATCAGGGAAAACTAGTTAACAGTGTCAAGTGCTGCTGATAGGTCAAGTAAGATGAGGACTGAGAAAAGGCCATCACACTTATTAGCCTCAAGGTCATTGGAAACCTGTATCTGAGCAGTTTCTGGAGCAATGGAGATAAAACCTTTATGGAGTGGGCTTAAGATAGAAACAGAGGGGAAGAAAGAGACAGTGAGTATGGATTATTTTGTAAGTTTTGTTATAAAGAGGAACAAAGATACTGGGCAATGGTGACTCCTACAGGATGTGAGATCAAGGTTTTTTGTTTTTAATGTGGGGAAAAGTAGTACAAGGGTCAGAAAACATTCTGTAAAGGGCTATAATAGATATTTTAGGTTTGGGGGGGCCAACTAGTCAACTAAGGCAACTAGTTGGGTTGTGTTTGTAGTGTAAAAACGGCCATAGGCAATATGTAAACAAATGGCTATTGACTGGGTTCCCATGAAACTCAATTGACAAAAAGGGATGGAGGCTTTAGTTTGATCTAATATAAACTTTTAAAGATGATTATGAGAGGAAGCAGAGAAAAACTGAAGTGATATCCTTGAATAGGTGAAAGGGGATGGGATTTGTGCACAGGAGTTGTGGCTGGAGCTTTAATTATGAGTTAAACCAAGTTTGAAATGCAAGAAAAACAAGAATAGGCAGAGGTGGGTAAAATGTGAAGCATAAATCTGTGGAAAATTTCTTTCAATAGCTTCAATTTTCTCAGGGAAGTAGGAAGCAAGATCATCATATGTGGGTGACCATTATGAAGGAGATTTAAAGTTTTAAGAAGAGAAGATACATAAAATACTGATAGTTTCATGAAAGAGTTTAAAAGCAATTGGGCTAAGAAAATACTAGAGATAATTAATTTTTTAGTAAAATACCAAATTTTCAGTTTGGAGTATTCTAGCTGTCCTTTTCCACACTGGACTTTAATATATCTTTATTAAAAGTTAAAATATTTCTGAAGCACCAGCTAAATTTGTGGCAAATATCAATTTATTTTGAATCATTTAACCTTGATCTTTAAAACCCTCATTTTTCTCCCCAGGGGAAAAAAGGAAATTGTCATGACCCATTAATATCCCTATTTTCAGACACCACAATCAGTCATACATTCTCTCCGTAATTTTTCTTGTTTAGCAAATCTTATTCCTGTTAGAAATTATTTGTGAAATGAATATGCCTCTGTCACTTCATCTGTGTTTCATGCATTTATCATACTGAATCCTAATTTGCTCTAAGGTTTTGCTAACTTTGGCTTCACTGATGTTTTTGTTCTGAAAGGGTTTAGATATTATGAAATATATTATGTCCAGTAGTTGTCTAATATTTTGCCACCTGCTTCAAAGGTTATACATGGATTAGTAAGTCAAAACAAGCCCTCAAAATATAGAATATCAATGGATGTGTCAGATAAGAAAGGCATAAATGGTGAAATCAACCACTGAGTTGACATTTTTCCTCTTGAAATAATTTACCAGAATTTGAAAGGATTTGTGCCTTTGAAAGTGCGTAATAAGGGAAAAAGTGAAAGACTGAACAGATTGATCTGAAATTTTTATTAACAATACTTCAAACAAATGCAAGCCAACATATTTTAGAGGGAATAGATATTGTTTTGTTCTGTCAACCAATCATAGAAACTTTCTAGGAAACCAATCAAAGCTGTATTATTATGGTTATGCACTGAGTAAATATTAACGTTTAAATTTAAATAGTATATGTGTGTGCACAGTTATATAGACATAATATCTTTGCTTTTCCTCTACAGAACTGTTGCCCAGTTGCCAGCAGTTGAATTGTCAGTATAAATGTGCCATGGTCAGAAATAGTACAATGTGTTACTGTGAGGATGGATTTGAAATAAAAGAAGATGGAAGAAGCTGTAAAGGTAATTATGACATGTAATTCTACTCAATTTTATTTTAACAGAGGCTTAATTAACAGAAATTTAATAAAATATCTTCAAGCACCTACCATGTGTTCCACACAGTGTTTATGTCCACTTTATTTTTTGTCTCTTGAGAGTTAAAAGTTGGCTCTCCCCCAAAAACCACATATAGAAACATTAGATAAGCATTTATACAAATCAATTTTCTTTCCTTTTTTGATTGAAGTGTAGTTGATTAATAATGCTGTGCCAATCTCTGCTGTACAGCAAAGTGACTCAGTTATACACATACAGACATTGATTTATATATTCTTTTCCATGATGGTTTATCCCAGGAGATTGGATATAGTTCCCTGTGCTGTACAGTAGGACCTTGTTATGTATCCATTCTAAATGTAATAGCTTGCATCTACTGACCCCAAACTCCCAGTCCATCCCTCTCCCTCCTTTCCCCCCCCTTGGCAACCACAAGTCTGTTCTCTGTGTCTGAGTCTGTTTCTGTTTTGTAGATAGGTTCATTTGTGCCATATTTTAGATTCCACATATAAGTGATATCATATGGTTACAAATCAATTTTCAATTCATATTGCAGTAATGACAGACATGGGACATGTCAACAATGGGATGTGTTTTGGTCAGTCACTAAAACTTTGGATTTAATTATTTTAACCTCCTAAATAGTTTATGTCTGTTATATAGCTGCAGTGTAGTAGACATTTGTTATCTACTAAGTTAATAATAGTCATGTAATGTTCTTTACAACTTTTACATTGGTAATTCTGGTGATTGATATTTGACCAATGCAATAATGATGAATATAAAATATTTATTTTTTAATGTCCTAATTTTTGTTTTTGTGAACATTCTACACCAAATGTTTACTTTCCAAAATGACTCTACTCTGCCATACTGAACTATTTTAGGTTATTTCTTCATTATGTTGAATCCAAATATATATACATATACATAATATTATATGTTTGTGTATATATATATATGATATATCCACAATATAAACAATACATTATTTTATATGGTATTTAGAATCTATATATAGAAAACATTGAATATAGACTCTGTGTATAAAATTGAGGAATATCTGTGTTACCAGCACCACTAATAAACAGAATATTTTCCAAAGAAATTGGTACTTTGCTGATTACTTTAACCCTTTGCTTTAATATTATAACTTTTACCTTAAAAATAGAATCTTAAAGTTGAAAAAAATCCTCAGAGAATATTTTTTTAAATCCTCATGACAAAAGTGAGAAAAGTGAGACCCTGAAAAATTAAGTGACTTAGTTAAGTCTGCACATCTTTTTAGTAAAAGACTTGGGACTGAAACACAGATCTCCAGAGCCCACTTATTCTTATCCTAGAGAGGCTCATTGGTTTATAATGTACATCGGGCTTAAATTTTCAGTTTGTGGTTTTTTCATTTTCTGCATAATACAAATATTATAAAAACATGTATTATTAAATGTTTATCAGACTCAAAGTCTACATAATCTGACTATAGGGGGACCAAACGTATATTTTATTTGACTGACAGTACTCTTAAACCAACATTTGAAAATCAGAAGGTTGCACACAGAAGTTCAGACTTTATGAAAAAACTCAGATTTGTCAACACTAGACCCCTTACAATCACAGAGTCTGCCAGATATAAGTAGTACCTCTGGACATGCACGCAATTTCAAGTTCAAAACAACACCTGCCATTCACACAAGGTAGGCCAATATACTTACCTGTATCCTTTTCATTCTTTTGCTATACCTCACTCCTATAGGTGTCAGGATTTTCAGCTCCTTTTACATGAATCTCTTTCTCCTGAATCTCTCTTTTAAATCTGTAAAAATCATCATAATCACTTTCTTCTGTTGAATATTAGTAAGCAAATACACAGCAATTTTTATGGAAGTTCACCAATAGAAGAGATTTTTTTACTTTGTCTGCACTCCTGGATGGCCAGGTCTGAGCATCATTTATGCTTTCCTGAAGGAATTTCCAGGATATTCTCTGTCCTTAAAGGAAGAAAGAAGATAGTGCTACAAGTGATGACATGCCTGTTTCTTTGCAGCCAATTTTGTGGAGTTACATCAATGTCAGAACAGTGCATTCTGACTGAGGAGAAAGAACAAAAGAAATCATTATTCATATTGCTCTCCTGTGTAGCATAATCACATATCAGAAAAACTAAAATAGGAACCAATAATAGTAAAGTTGAAAAAAATCGGTGAAAATATTATAGATACGAATCATCATTTTTGCCACTAGGGGCTGGACTTTATCAAATTCAAGATTTAATTTCACATTATCACTGTGGACTTCACTCCAAATACTATTTTTCCTATCCCCAAAGCTACTTACTTCAAACAAACTGTCTATAAATGCAGGCTATTACACGAAGCTAAAAAAATCGGAGAGGAATGCAAATAAATGTCATACAAATGCATAGTTTCCCAATTTAAATGGTTCCTTGGCTACTTAGCCATCTTTTGCTTTTCCTTAGTCAACTCCTTTCTTAGGTTGGGGGGTCAGAGGATGGGGTTGAGAGTTCCCACCCTCTAAGTCACCTGTTTGATCTTTTTGGAGACCAGTCCCATTCTGAGAATATCTAGTAGCCCCACCCTGAGTCACTTCATTAGCATAGACTCTAGTGTATTTCACAGGGCTCCTTAGAAATAACAAAAGATACTCCTATAGCTCAGAAAATTACAAGGTAACTGAACTCTGTGTCAGAAACAGAGGATAAAGACCAAATATATATTTTTATTATACCCAAGCAGTTTAATCCGCTTAACATCCTTCAGAGGAGGCTCATGGACTCCTCTCTCTTGCCGGCCTTTTTCATGTTGGTATCCTAAAGTATTTTTCTATAGCTAAGCTTTCCCGACTTTCCCTTTCTCTCTGTGGGATCTAACCCTCTCCTATTTTTTTAATCTAATATCCATATGCTATTGACTCTCAAATACTCCAAGACCGATCTCACCTTATATTATTGGTTCCATATTTCCAACTACTTATTAAATGTTTACTCAAGGATGCTCTACAGATACCTCAAATTTAACACATCCAAATCAAACTCACTTTTTCCTCCCATGATACCTCCACTGTAATCTACACTTCTTATAAAATTAGACCACCATTCACTTCTATCATATCCAGTCAAACTTCACGTTATCTATTCTATTTCTTAGACATTTGAGTCCATTCCCTCGTCTCCATTCCCACTGCTACTGTCATTGTTCAAAATATTATGACTTCAAAATACAATTTCTTGTGTGAAATTAGCACATAGCTAATTTTCCAGGTTCTCTTCTCTATATTCACCAATCCATTTATCGTGACTTTGTTTAGTTTTAAAATACAAAGTTGATCATAAAGCTCATCTAATTAATGCTTTCCAGTGCCTATGTATAATGTACAGCACTTTAGTTTACAAATAACTTCATTATCCCATCCCAAAACGATTTTCCCAATATCATCTCTTACCATTTCCTCTTATACACCCTTACTCCACCTGACTCCTTATACTTCTTTGAAATCCCTACCGTGTCATCCCAATGGCTTTTCACATGCTGTTTTGTTTAACTGGAACACCTCTTTCCATCTGATCCCTTTTTATTTAGTCTGAGGAAATCTAAATCATCCTTTAAACTCAGCTCAGTATGCAGCCTTCACATTTTCCCTTCAATTCCAAGCAGGTTCATTTACTTCTCTGTGTTTCTATTATAACTAGAGTATGACTCTATTATAAGGAAATGCATAGAAATGAAATTCTATATCACTAGACTTGTTTCACCTAGAGGTTGAAATCATGTTTTATAAATTTTGGTTTCTTCAGGAATTCGTATAGTGCTTGGTACACAGGACAGACTGAATACACATTTGTCTAAATTATTAGCTGGCAGAGTTTTTGTTTTTTTTTTTAATTTGCCCGGTTGGTTAAGAATCATTAAGTACCTGCTGCTTACAGAGACTTGAACAGGTGCTGGAGGAAAAAAGTATTGCTAGTGGAAGTAGGGAAAAAATAGGAGGAGGGCCATAGATATTAAAATAAAAATTAATTAAGATAAAATTTCTGCTTGCGACAAGTACTTAATAGTTTCCTCCTTTTGATTTAGTGAGGGTGGTTTACATTGCTTAGCTCAGAACTTTTATTTAATCTGTTCATTGAAAATCGTGTTGCCAGTCTAATTTTTGTCAAAATCCTGAAAAAGCCAGTGTCGTAAACACTAGAACTCTTCAGCGAATATTCATTGGAGTGCATTTTATACCTGTGCACAAATATCCAAGGACTTTTAGCCTACGCATCCAAAATGCAAATACATTATCTTTTAAAGTAAAAGATTTGGTGTTAAGCTTGATCTTGTATCTCCGTAACTATTAAAACGACACTGAATTTTATGTTCAGTTAGTGTGGTTTTGAAAAGATGTATTGGAGTTGGCTCTTTCTCGCTTTTTTTTAATAGCCTACTTCCAAAGTTTGGAAAAAATGTTTTCTTCAGGGAGAAAAAAAAATGCCCAACAATAAATCTGCTTAGAAATGATGTTAATTTACCTTTTAGATCAAGATGAATGTGCTGTTTATGGTACATGCAGCCAGACCTGCATAAATACGTATGGATCCTATGCTTGTAGTTGTGTGGAGGGCTACATAATGCAGCCGGACAACAGATCCTGCAAAGCCAAAACTGGTAAGTTATCTAATTTTTTTTTTTTTTTTTTTTTTTTTGCGGTACGCGGGCCTCTCACTGTTGTGACCTCTCCCGTTGCGGAGCACAGGCTCCGGACGCGCAGGCTCAGCGGCCATGGCTCACGGGCCCAGCCGCTCCGTGGCATGTGGGGTCTTCCCAAACCGGGGCACGAACCCGTGTCCCCTGCATCGGCAGATGGACTCTCAACCACTGCGCCACCAGGGAAGCCCAAGTTATCTAATTTTTGTCCTTCCAGAATTTATTTCCTATTTGCAGTTCTTTTCGTTAGAAATGTATATAGTAGAGCAATGTGGACTTTGAAGAAATAGATTTTTTTTCTTCATTTTAAGGAAATGATCCATCCTTAGAAAGCCAGAGAAGTTCTTTTAGTTGTCACTGATCACTACAAAACTCCTTCCATTACAGGAAGTTTCTAATGAACAAAAACCTGTTCAAAAGGAATGGATTAATTGATTTGAATTACCCATCTCTCTCCTGGACTGTATAATAGATTCCTCACTGGTTTCTGTGAGCCTCTGCTTTCCCTCTAAAATTCATATTTCACGTAATAGTTAATCTGCTAGAATATAAACCAAACCATGTTGTTATTTTGCTTAAAATCTCCTGACAGTTTTCTCTCATGTTGAGAATAAAACCCAAACTTCTCACAGGGCCTCTAAGGGCTAATGGACTAGTACCATTTACCTTTCCATCTCATCTCTCCTTCTCCTTTTATCACACCCCAGCCATACTGGTTTCCTTTTCCTTCAGCCACTTTGCTCTTGAGGTCTTTTCACTTGCTGTTTGATCTGCCTGCAATGCTTTTCTCTTTGATAGTCACATTCTTATCATTCAAGTCTTGGCTAGAATGTCAACATTCAGAATGACCTTCTCTGACCATTCTATTTAAGGGTGTGTACTCTCTCCATCACAATCTTATTTCCCAACTATACTTATTATTCATACCTATTCTATCACTACATGACTTTTTAGTTTTCTTTATAGCACTGCCATTTGAAATGAACATATTTATGTATCTGTTTATCATCAGATTTACCCAGAATAATATAATCATTATGAAAGTACAGAACTTGTCAGTTTTGTTTGCTGTTATATACTCAGTTCTGACCATTGCCTGGAACATATAGGTACTCAGTGAATATTTGTGGAAGGAAGGGAGAGATTGAGGGAAGGAAGGAGGGAGGGAGGGAGGAATGAAGGAAGGAAGGAAAAAGAAGGAATTAATTTTTCTTTCTAATTAAGATTACTACAATGAGTGTTCTCCTCTTAAGTATTTGAATTTCATTTTCAAAACTGCCTTCCCTTTACCTCTTATCTGCAAATAAAGCCTACTGTTTCTACTTAGTGTGCAGTCTTAGTACACCCTCAGTAAATATTGTTAATTTGCCAATGAAATAGCCTTGAGGTGCTAGTAATGATAGAATAACACTAATTTTTTGTTGTTTGTGTGTGTGTATGTGTGTGCGCGAACTGAATTAGCTTGGGAATAATATAGGAAGATATTACACATGGTATTCCATCTGGCATCTTCTCACTTCCTCCAAATCTGGTTTCATTTCCTGCATTTTCAAATTATGAAGTTTTGATAAATTAGTGAATGTCCCCTACTCCCTTTTATTAGCAATTGGAAAATTAGGCATGGGATGGGATTCTCTTTCCTGAAACCAAATTGAGCAAAGCATTGGATTTGCTCTGCGAGCTGCTGCTGTTTCCCTTTGCATCGTAACTTCATGTTATAATTTCAACTATTTCTCTGAGATAGTATGTTTAATTATTTACAAAACATATTTGTATAGAAAATTACCAAGAAAGGAACTCTTTTACTTCTTAGTTTATTTTTCTTCAATTGCTGACTTGGTTTATGAAGCCCTATTTATTTTTCAGGGGCAATCCTCTAGAAAAATTAGGTCAAGTTATCTGTTCCTCTTTTTTTCCACCACTGAGAGTTCTGATTTAATATATCAACGGATTAAAGAAGTGGAAGGCTTTTTCTTTGCAGTTTCTTCTATTGATCCACACAATATTGCTGTGAATACACAGGGAGAGTGTAACGTAATAAACCCTATACAGAGAAGCGCTTCCTCTCTTTCTACACAGAAGGGTTTCTGACAAAAAGAGAATGTAGTCAAAGAGGGATGGTACATGATATAGTGCTGCATCTTTGAATGTAGTCAGAGGGATGGTACATGATTTGATGACTCTAGCATTGATAATGGAATACATATGTAAATGCCTTCACCTCTAGTGGTTGGCTTGATGACTATTGGCGTACATAGTTAGAACAATACACAGTTTTCATGGGAACGTTCCTGTGGTTTGTAGTTTTAGGAAAATCAGTAATATAGTAAATGAGTACAAGTCTGTAACATATACTGACTAGTTCTAAAGGTCACATGGATATTTGAACAATGCATTTGTATAATTCAAAAAAACCGATCAGTTTTGCTTTAGTTTTCTCATATTTGTAACAAATGTACAGGAGGATTTTTTGCTTCCATTAGATTAAATGTATTAAAATTCCATTTAATACATCAGCTTTAAATTTTTCTGTGGCAATTTTATTTACTATGGTATTGCTGTGACTGAAGGGTGCTAGGAAAAAGTTATAAAGTAAACCCCATTTGTCTTCAGGCTTTGACTTTCCTCTTTTCCATTACCTGCTGCTTAGATTAGCACCTCTTTTTTTCTTCCTTTAAAATTTTACCCTACTGGATTCTGGAACCTGACTTTCCCTCCAAGTAAAGCCAGAGTTCAAGGGATTCCAGAAGCTGGGATTGTGTGAAATTAGGGAAAGGTTAGAATGGGCTGACCCCAAACAGTAGATGTTTGTAAAAGATCCCTAGACTTTAGACAGAAAATGCAACATAAATATATCAGACCCAGAGGATACAGTGGACAGCTAGAACTGCACACAAGAGGAAAGTTCTACAAAGACCTTACTAGATAATAGATGGGAAAATAAAAGTTCCTAGGAAAGGTAGCCTTTTATGTGAAGGCAGAGGGTGGCAGAGTCAGTTGGCTGGGAAGCTGCTTCTAAGGTGATGAACTAGTTCAGCACAAAATAATATCATGGGGCTTCCCTGGTGGTGCAGTTGTTGAGAGTCCACCTGCCGATGCAGGGGACGCAGGTTCGTGCCCTGGTCCGGGAAGATCCCACATGCCGCGAAGCGGCTGGGCCCGTGAGCCATGGCCGCTGAGCCTGCGCATCCGGAGCCTGTGCTCCGCAACAGGAGAGGCCACAGCAGTGAGAGGCCTGCGTACCACAAAAAAAAAAAATAATAATATCATGGTCGCTCCCCAACTAGTCACCCCAAAGCTTGCCTGTGGGATCTTATTTTCAATGTGACAATTGATAGTAAATAGGAAAATGAATTTAAGTTAATTGATTATCCCTCTTTTGTAGTATAATGACCAAATCCAAGTAAAAGTCATAAGCCCTAAGAGCACCTTTAAGAAATACCTCTAGTAGGGGGAGGGGATTTTAGGCCCTGTGGCAGTTGGGAGAAGAGATTAATGTTAGGCAGGAGGCCTTTTCACTCTTGATAATTCATGTAGTACAGACAAATTCTTTTCTTTTCTACACTGAGTAAGATTTTCCCCTGACTACTGAACTATAGAATCAAGTGTTTCAAAGTTGGGAAAATTTCAAAGGTAATCTAGTCCTATCCGTGTGACATCAAAATAGGTGATTTCCAAATGGAAGAAAATCTACAGAACTCTCAGTGTATGTAAAAAAAAAATAATAATAACTTCATGCATACTTGATATTACTGGGTAGTAGGAAGCATGCTAGAATGTGAATGTCATGATGGACTGTTCATAACTTTGGAATGGGACACACGTTAAAAACTAGTCATTTTTGAATTAAATGTTAGGACTTGTCATTTGAAAAAAGATGTTTTAAAGTAACTGTCAAGCATCTATAGGTATCCAGTAAAGCATCCTGTATATTTTTACATTTTTCAAAATTAGAGTTCTAATAATGACATCAAATCTGAAAATGAAAAGTTTTTTTGTTTGTTTTTTAATTTAGCTTACTTTCTTTTAACTGATTTAGACTGATTTTGTTATAGAAGTATGTGTTAAATGTGGGCACCCAGGATTGACAGGGGGCTCATGCAGAACCTGTGAGAGTGAAAATAATAGCTAAGGGTGTTTAATTTATGAACTGTTGGCAATTTTGAATGAACTGATAAATTCAGGCTCCTTGGACTATACTTTTCAGTGTCCTAACCACTTGCTTAAGGCAGGCATTTACCCCAGCATTCAGTTCTATGGAACCTATAAGCCTCTATTGATTTCATCAAAGCAGTAGCAAAATAAAGAGCACTAAATAATTCTATGCTCATCATCGTTGAGTCACCACATTAAATGGTACTACATGAGAGAGAGTACACCTTTTTGCCACAGAACAACCAGAGTAATGAGAGAAGAGAGTCCAGTAAATAACTTTGAGATTCTATTACAGCTTATGCTTTGCTGTCACTGATTTGGGCGAGGGTGAGGGGAGACTTTTTAGGCGATGGAACTCTTAGCTGTAAGAAATACAAATTATAATCCCTGTGTAATCCATAGAAGCACACCTCCAAACGTGTTAGAGAGTGTTTTCATAATACTTTCTTTGCTGCAATTTAAAGAAAGAAGGAAGGAAAGAAAGAAAAAGAGAAAGATAGAGAAATAAAACAAAATATAACTTCCTATGGCTCCTACTTCTAATCTCTATTATCATCTACTAATAAATAGTTTAAAATGTCCTTTTGGAAGGTTGGAGGAATCATCCATGGTTTTCTGTCAAGGCTGGCTCTGCTCATGGGGAGGACAGAATAGGCTGGTACTTGTATAAAAAGGGACAAGCCTGGGAATTAAAAAAAAAAAAAAAAGGGGAAGAGCCCCTGCTCAGAGTATCATACTAATCAGCACTTGTGATGCTTGGAATTCAGTTATTAAAGTATAATTGCCTTTTTTTTCTTTTTAAAAGA